AAAAAAAGTCACCTGCAGTTGGATCAACTCAATAAAATCTCCACATCTTGGAGCAGCAAAACAAAGACTTCAAATCGCCTCTTTCAGGTCAAGAGGAGATTCCGCGTCCTGTATGTAGGACAAAAATCCGAAAAATTAGATAATCATGGCAATTGATAACATTAACAATACAAAATATTACTAGATTTCCAGATGAAGGATACTGATTGTTTAAATCGGAGTACCTGGTTGTTAACATCATTGGTGACTACACCATATACTCTCCAATTGAAATCAAATGGGAAAACGTTCTTCGGAAGGATCGGAGCCTCGCTAACGTCGGCAGGGAACCTGAGAGATCTAGATCTCAATCCGATATGCTTTCCGAATTCCGATGCATTAATGTCAGAGAATCGAGTGATGTCGTGGACAAGTAACAGATTAAGCTTTCGGTGATTCTTTGCACGACGGAGGTTAATTTTGAAGTGATGCTCCTCCGTGTTCAAACAACTGGTCTCTATCTTCGACCACCTCACCGATGAAGAAGTCATATCCGACGAGGAGGAGGCGATGAGAGGACAGGAGTCGAGATCAAAGAGAGAGAGAGAGACAGAGAAAGAGAGAGAGAGGTCTCAATTATTTATTTACTAAAATGCCCCTGACTCATAATAATTATGATGCCCCCATGCTTTTTTTTTCAAATTATTTACAAAGAACACCACCGAGAATCCTAGATTTTTATTATTTTGATCTAACAGCTCACAATTGGTTCTCGGGAAACCTTGAGTTCTCAAATGATCTTCCATCCCCCTCTCTCTCTCTCTCTCTCTCTTTCTCTCTCTCTCTCTCTCTCTCTCTCTATATATATATATATATATATATATATATATATATATAATATATATATATTATATATATATATATATATATAGGAGTAGGATCAAATGAGAACACAAAAAAGGTTGAGAACGCGAGAATAAGTATATTCATTTGAGATTCCATGTATTCATTTGTGGAGAAATGATAAATTTTTACGCCTTTAATTTCAGTTGAAGAGAAAAAACATATCCATGTTGATTGTGCGTAAAAATTTATTGTTTCTCCACAAATGAATACATGGAATCACAAATAAATATACTTGTTTTCACGTTCTCAACCTTTTAGATGTTTTCATTTGATCTTTTCCCTATATATATATATATATATATATATATATATATATATATATATATATAATATATATATATAATATAGAATAATTAGAATATATTTATTCATTATTAGAATAAATTTATTCATTTATTAGAATCTATATATATAATATATATATATATATATATATATATAATATATATATATTATATAATATATAATATATATATAATATATATATATATATAATGGTTTTTTTTTGACAAATAAAATAATCCAAGTCGTGATCATTGATCTAATTGTAATAATAATAATGATAAGAAAATATAAAGCAAAAATCTAAATGATATTATATTTGAAAAAGAAATCATGAAAATGAAAGTGAGGGTCCGTCCACTACCAATGATTTATGTGTTACATAAATAAAGCTCCCTTTCATTACTTTTTACTTTCATTATGAATCCCACGTGGTATTTTTTATTATTTTCTAATAAAAAAGTAAATTTTGCAAAACAAAAGAAAGGTTATGCTTAACATGGTAAAGACGTTGCATTGTTAGAGAAAAATATGATGTGATAGAATAAGTCAAATATATTTTTGAAAAATAACCTTTTATTTTTAGTAAGCAACGATTTTGCTCCTTTTGGTTGGTCTAGTGTGCGTTTAGTACTAAGATACTTCATACAATGCAGTCATTATAATTTCAAAATGCTTCATGGTTAGTCTCTTTTGTGGTTATCGTCAATAACAAGTAAAATAACCAAATAACCGGTCTATGTATCATTTTATTTTACTATTGGTTTGCCATTTTATTATGGTAAATGTCATATTAACCCAACAAACTTTTCACTTTTGTCCGATTTAGTCACCAAAGTTATTTTTCTGCGCAATATGTCACTAAACTTTTTGGTAACCTGTTAATCACACCATTTTACGTGATTTTATAGGTTGCCAAGTTTAAGTTGTCATTTTACTTTGATCTATGTCACCTCAAAATCATTATCTCCTTTCCTTTCCTCTCTACACATCTAATTGCATTCTTCGTTCTTTCCTCTAATCACACAATTTGGTTTCACTCTCATTTGAATTTGGAATTAACAATTAAGAATTGGGGATGATTTTATCAGAAATGGTTTGACGATTCAAAGAAGCTTCAATGGTGGTGGTGAATTAATACAAAATAATTGCAATAATTCTAGCAGACAAACCTCCCAGCAAAGCCTAGAGAGGTAACGGAGGAGCATTTTCCTCAACCGGCGTCATTGCTTTCAAACTCTCAAGTGCCTCCTCCTTTAGCGTCTTTTTAGTTTCTGTTCTTATAGACCTAAATTTCGAGTCCATAGACAAAATTCTCAACTTAATCATTGCTAATACTCGCATATAACTTCAATAGGTTCAGTTGTGAATCATAATTTGGGTTTATACAAATCAAACCCCTAAGATAGCACTGATACATGATCTAGATGCTAAATAGTGATGATAAGTTGAGAACATATTCAAATGTGTGTGTGTGTGTGTGATAGAAAGAGAGAGAGTGTGTGTGTGTGTGAGAGTCGGAGGGAGTATGAACCAGTTCTTTGGCGCGCTTTGCACAGAAAAGGAGGGAGCGAAAGAGGAAGATGGAGATGGAGTCGGTGAGGAGAACACTGGTGGCAACTTGGAGAGTGGTAAGGTCATCGTTAGTGGAGAAAAATAAAGGTATAGAGAAGGGGAGTTCGATGGGTTTATCTTCAGGCAACGCCGAATCGGGGAGTTGAGCTAGCAATGGGGCAAGAGGCTTGGTCGAATATTGGTGTGAAAGCAGGGTTTGGTAGGTACTCTGAGAAAACGACTATTCGAAAAGAGGGAGAAAGGAGGGAGGAGAACGATGGAGGAGAGGAGGAGGTGGTGGGGTGCGGAATGCAACATCGGTGGTGGTTGATTGAAGAAATATAAGATAAATAGGGGACAAAATGATTTTGCCCGTGTATAGAAATTGAGGCGATACCCCAACAGTAAACATAATCTTTGGTATGATTTTGTCTGTGAAAGGGAAATCATGATGGTGGTTGTAGATTGTGATATAAGGTTGCAGATGGTGGTTTATGGCTTCAGGTAACATAAGGTTACAGATGCTTTTACAACTAGGTGGATGTTGACAGGGCAGTCAAACCATTCCTAACATGTATATTACATTTGAACTCGGTTTCAGGTAACATAAGGGCATTTTAAAACAGAGAAATGTAAGTTTATTCCTTTAATGTGCAAAAAGAAAATAGTTTAGTGACCTTTTAAAACAAACAGAATAAGTTTGAAGGGTTAATATGACATTTACCCATTTTATTATGAGTAAATTATAGTTTTGGTTCATGTGGTTTGATCAAATTGGCTCGTTCAGTCCAATTTTTGAAAATTTGACAAGATGTTCGGTTTAAAGAAATTGCACCTGACATCCTTAATCTATTAAAAAGACAATTTTACCCTTACTTTTATATATTTATGTTTAATATATATATATATATATATATATATATATATATATAATTGTTTAATTTTTTTTATATTTTCCCGCTTACATTTTATTTTTTTATTTATATTTTTTTTAAATTTTATTCGAATATATTTTTAATGGTTTTTATATTTTGTTCGTCTATATTTTTTTTGATGTTTTATTTAAATATTATTTTTGATGTTTTTCTCGAATATATCTTATAATGTTATTTTTGATCTTTCGTTTTTTATATATTTGTAAAGCAATGTATAAATATTTTTTGTATAAAAATATAAAAATGTTAGTTAAATGAGAATATGATTAATACATATTAGGTATATAACTGTTTATATTAATAGGTTTATTGTATAGGCTAACCGGAATTTAAAACGAGTGTCAATAGCTTCGAATTCAATTTTTTTACATTTCTTTACGAATGGTAAATGCTAATCATAATTCATATAACTCAAACACATATGTCAATGTTTTCAAGTTCATTTTTGTTTTTATTTTTAGAAATTTTGTTCGTTTTCGAGTTATATGGTTTTTCAATTAGCTGTTATATAAACTGAAACCATTTTTCATAATTCAGTGAGTCTGTCTACTAATCTTATTAAAAATATAATTTTATACCTAATCTAAGTTAATGATATTCACATTTAACAAACTTTTTTTACTTATTTTCCAAAAAGTATAAACAAGCAAAACGTCAAAAAAAAAAAATTAAAATGTCTTCAAACAACATGTCAAAAAAAAAAATTATTAAAAAAAACATCATAAAAATATAAACAAAAAAAAATATATAAAAAAAAAACATTCAACACTATATTCAAACACCACACCAAAAAATGTTTTTTTATGTTTTTCTTGTTTGTATTTTTTTTCTATTTTTTTGAATAATTTTTTTTTTGTTTATTGATGTGTTGTTTGAATACATTTTTTTTTTTTTTTAAATTTTATTGGTTTATACTTTTTGTAAAAAAAGAATGTATTAAAAAGTTCGTTAAATGTAAATATTATTAAGTTATATTAGGTATAAATTTATATTTTTAATTAGATTAATAGATAGGCTCACTATATTACGAAAAAGGGTTTCAGATTATATAAAGGCTAATTGAAAAACCATATAACTCGAAAAGGAACAAAATTTTAAAAATAAAAAAATGAACTTGAAAACATTGACATATGTGTTTGAGTTATATGAATTATGATTAACATTTTCCATTCAGAACGAAATGTAAAACAAAATTCAATTCGAAGCCATTGACACTCATTTTGAATTTCGGTTAACCTATACAATAAAGCTATTAAAATAAATAATCATATATCTAATTTTTGTTAATCGTATTCTCATTTAACTAACAATTTTATATTTTTTAAACAAAAAATATTTTAAAAAAAAAGCTTTACAAATATTTTAAAAAACAAAAGATAAAAAAATTAAAAGATATATTCGAGCAAAACATTAAAAAAAAAAACTACAAAAATTATTCAAATACAATGTCAAAAAAAATATAAATAACATTAAAAATATGTTCAAGTAAATTTAAAAAAAAAAATAAGTTACAAAAAATATAAATACATAATATAAAATGTAATTGGCAACATAAAAAAATTATATATATATATATATATATATATATATATATATATATAAGTAAGGGTAAAATGGTCTTTTTAAGTGAATTAAGGATGTCCAGTGCAATTTTCTTTAAACCACAGGGATTTATCCTGTCAAATTTTGAAAGGTTGGACTGAATGTGAGAATATGATCAGGGACCAAAACTATATATTACTCTTTTATTATTTAAAGAGATTATGTATGTAAATTAGATTAAAATGAAATAAGACCCTTAAATCGAGAGTTCCCTCAATTGTTCACCCCTATATCTCTTCTTCACGGTAGAAAACTCTCGTTAATAAGATCAA